GCCGCGGCGAAGATGGTGAGTGGGAAGGAGCCCTGGGCGCGGGCTGAGGTGGTTGGGAGCGGCGGGACTTCCGAGCGCCGCGGGGCTCGGGCTGTGGGGGCGGGAGCGGCGACCGAGTGGCTGAGCGACCTGGGCCCGGCTGCGGTCTCGGCGGAGGAGGGGCCCCTGTGCTCCCGGGCGGCTCGCGGCCTCTGCGCGGCACCCACTGCTGCCAGGCCGCTGTCCCAGCCTGCTCCCACGCCGCGCCGGGCCTCAGTGCGGCAGGCCGCGGCCGGGAGCCCACCGGGGTCTGCAGAGTGTGGGGGCGTGCTCGGAACCCGGCTCCTGACCCCTTCTGCGCGGGTTTCCACAAAGCCGGCGCTCGGTGACCCGTGCGCGTTTCCGTCTTGAGGTATTTCCATCAATAAGGAAAATAAGGCCTTTATTGAACAACCCCGGAAGGCAGACCCTGGCTCGGTTAGGAACCGAGTGGCCTTGCCACCGTTTTGTTTGTCGTATCTGGCAATCAGCTTCTAGCAGCACTCTCGGGCTTGTCAGCCTTGGCAGTGCCTCTTTTAACCCTTCCCTGCCCGATCCCTCCGTGTGGGGTTGCAAATTTTTATTTATCTGGGAACAGCAGTTTGGCCGCACCAGAATTTGTAGTCCAAGGTGCTGGCATGATGTTGAATGCTAATACACCAAATGTAAAAGCATTTTGAAAGTCCTTCTAGTTACCTAGTCATTTAGAAGTAAATGCGTTCGGTATGTTATAGATAATGGAGATTTTGCTTAATTTACATATATTTCTTCCTCTAAACTGTCACTCTGCTGTAAGGGTATTCTCAGCGGGGCGACCAGGTGGAACATTTTGTCGCTTTGTGAAGTTGCACACACTGTTACCATTTTTGGTCAATGATTTGTAGGCAAAGCCTTAGCAGACTTTGCTAGAAAAGACTGCACTGTTAACTGCATCAGTCTGCCTGGAAGCGGTTGGTACCAGCTTATCTGTATACAGTGTGTGTTCACAGAGTAACAGTGTTTTCTTACGGTAGTGCAACTTTCATGGAGATGCAGCATTGCTCCTTTGTGGAAGATTAACCGGTAGTTTTTTGGTATCTGGAATGTGTAATAGGGGGTTGATAGTCTTTGGTTCTTTACAGTAAGCTGCAAAGAGGATCAGCATCTTAATTCTTTTTAAACTCTTTAAGATTTTAAATGTTTGTTTTAAGTTTCTAATACAGTACAGATTTTCAATTGAAAATAGAATCAAACATTTTAACTTTCGTTATACCACTTCGGTCAAATAAAATGAAGGAAGAATCTTATTTCCTGGTACTTGGAGAGAGAGGAAGAAGTAAAAATTAAAGATGGTGGATTCTAAATACATTTCAAACTTGTTTGCCTTGTGGTAGTTCAGAAAGCCCTTACAAGCTACTTTTGTTTAGAGTCTTGCAGAGAAGAGTTCAGAATACAGACTGGTCATTTTTAAAGGTTACTCTTACACTTCGTTTTACAAGCAGAGCTGTTCATTCTAGCTATTAGAGAATATCTCGAAGAGGGAAGAGTTCCTTTATTATCCTAGGTTCTAGCACTTTCTGTATTTGGAACTGTTTAGATTTGTTGGTCAGGTGGTTGGGGCCAAGTTTCCTTCTTTCTTTTTTTTTTTTTTTTAAACCCGAGGTTAAATTTTAACTGCTGATGGGTGTGAATATTTTCTGTTTGGTTTTTTTTTTTTTTTTTGAGACGGGGTCTCACTACGTAGTTCAGGCTGGCCTTGAACTCACTGTGTAGCCTGAACTGGCCTCAACCTGAAGTGATCCTCCTACCTCAGCCTCCAAAGTGCTGGGGTGCTGGGATTACAGATGGGTGGCCCCACACCTGGCCAAAGGTGTGCTCTAAATTAGCAGAATTACTTCCTGGTATTCACCAGCTTTTCTAGAAGCATTTGGAATAAAAGAAATTGAAAACAACTAAAAAAAGAAACCACCCTGGGCACTTTAAGATGATATTTCAAATGCCTCACTCTCCAGTGCCTTCCCACCTCCTTGTAGACACTCCACCTGAAGCCCTGTGTGTGTCCTGGGCATGTCGGCTTCCCTTGTGTGTGCAGAGCCGTTTGCCAGCCCACCATTAGGTTCCTGAGGCTGTTTGCATGGTAGTTTTCTTGGCTGTGGGTTGTGATTCACAGGTAGACTTGCCTCGCTCTTTGTGTAACCAAGGTGTGCATTTGCAGTGTAATTGGCTTAGGCTGAACTACAAATGCGTTTTACCACACCGAGAAACACTTTCACTTATGACAGCCCAGTGAAGTAGACTGGGCACTTGTTCCTGTGCCTGTTTAAAACAGGAGAAAAACAGACTGAAGGATTCATCAACTTGTGACCAATCGCTTTTTCTGACTCCATATCAAGAGGTTTTTTTGTTTTTTTTTTTTTTTTGTCTTTTTGAGACAGGATCTCACTATGCAGTTCAGGCTGCTGGAGCTCACTTTGTAGCCCAGGCTGGTTTCGAACTTGCAGTGATCCTCCTACCTCAGCCTCGCCAGTGCTGGGATTACAGGCATGCACCACCATGCTCAGCTCACATCAAGTTTTAAAATAATTTTTAAAACTCTTTGAAATATTTTAAGGAGTAAAGTACACAGAATAAAGATCCTTTTGTATAAAAGAAAGTTAGGGTTTTTTGGGTTTTTTTCTGTATTTCAGATTTTATGTTGTCTTTGCAGTTAAATATGTATTTTCCTCTAAACATGCCGTCTCATCCCCAGAGACAGCCACTCTGGGGCCCAAGATGTAATGTACTGGCTTAGGAAGTCGATGGTTTCATTCAGGTTTTATATCAGATTGCAGATTAGAACATTCATTAAGAAAAAACTTCTCAAACAAAAGAGGAGACCAGGGACGGGTAGCCCAGGCAGCCTTAGCAAGAATGGAAGTGGCTCCCATCAAGTGTGAGCACCCTGTGCTTTGCAGTTGCTGTTTCCCAGGACGCTTTCCCACCTCTGTTCTTCCAGAGTTTGGCCTATGATTTCCACAGCTGGTTAAAATCAGTCCTTCCCATGCTAACTGGTGGCTGTGCTTTTAGCTACAGTGTATACATCCTGAGTAATATACCTTGCACTGATGTGTTTTTAAAATTTATATAAATCTATGCTTCATGTCACCTTTTGTAGGTTTTTTAAAAAACTCTTTGGGGGGAGTTAGTTTTTGATTTTAGTGGTGGGTCTGGTTGTTTTTTAAAACTACTGAATAGTATTCTGTGGTATGACTGTACGCGTTTGTTCTCCTATTCATGGACATTTGGACTCTTCTCTCTTTTTTTTTTTTCTTTTTTGATCTTTTGAAACTTTTTGCAACAGGCGATTTCCACATCTTCCTGTATATTATTTCTGGAGGCCTAGTCCTTTCTTGGTGTTTGTGTAGAAGGGAAGCCCTGGGCTAGAGTGTTGGGTGCATTTCCTACCCTGCCGGTCCGTTTACTTTGTGTTCATAACTTATAGCCTGCTTGTCTGTTCTTTTCACCTGGTGTTAGAGACTTAGAACCTTTGTCCATGTGACCAGTGTGAAATGGTTTCTCCTTATTTTGATCTGCATTTATCTGACTTTTTTCATGTTATTGAATTCTTTTGTCTTTGTGGTACTGGTGACTGAACCCAGGGCCTCATGCATGCTAGGTGAATGTAGAGCTACACTGTCAGTCCACATGCTATGTGTTTACACACATGCTGCATCCTGTGAGCCTTACTTCATCGAATTTTACATACATTAAAACAAAACACACAGTAGGAACGTGCTTGTCAATGCTAGGACCTTAGGAGGATGTTGTTCCCTCCATTCTGGCGCATGAGTTTCTTTTCCAGCCTTACAAGGTAAGTCACAGAAATTTGCCACTTAGTTCTGTCACCTGCCGTTTTCTGACTCCTGGTAGTGGACACATAGAGTGATGTAGGGTAGAGGTTCTACTTACTTCAGGCCCTGTGATGAGCCCTTTGACCTTATACTGTCCTGTTCCCAGATAGCTCCTGAGCCAGAACCTTGAACACAAATGTGTGGGAGCGCTTGCTTATGCTCAGATTTGCCATGGACTAAAACTCTTTTTTAAAAAAAAGCATACTAAAAACTGGCAAAACAAAACAAATAACTGACTTTTTCATAAATACAATTGGTTTAAATAAAATAGTGTTTAATGTTTAACTTAGTATCAAAGAGGCTGGAACATTTGTTTTTATGCCAGTGTAACTATATTTTCTTTCAATAGTAATTAAATACTTTGAAATGAATACACCTGTACTTGAAATTTGAAAAAGTCTTGAAGCTTTGAAAAACGGAACTTTACACATTGTTTTGAACTGGTGAGGAAAGCTCCAATCCCCTGTGTTATCAGGCATGCTCTCCTTATTGTACTGTCTGCTGTTCAAGTGTATAAACGACAGAGCATAATAAAGAAGATTATTTTCCTTTCGGGCGTAATATTCTTGTCCATATTGTTCATGAAAGTTGTATCCAAAGGTTTATGTCTAACACTGAGAAATATCGGTAAGCACAATTTTTCTTTGTTCCTTACTCCTTTGTGTTACTGTTAGAAACTGGAAGTTTCCACTTGAAATTGTCCTTTTGAGCTGTGTCCTACTCATTTTTCTTAAAATTTTTGAGAAATGTATAGATTAGAAAAATAAACAGGTTCATTCATCTCGGTCATACTTTGGACAAACTTCCTGCATTCATCAGGAGCTGCTGTTCAAGGACCTCCATTGAATTTGGTAGATTTTAATCTCAAGTGGTTCTTAACTCTGACACTGAACTAGTCTTCTAGCAGCTTACATGCTGTGCTTCATACTCTGTTTTACCATTTGCTTTTTTTTTTCTTTGTTGGTACCAGGAATCGAACTCATCATCTGGCACGTGCCAGGCCAATGCTCAGCTACATCCCTGGCCCTCACAGTTTGCTTTGTTACATTAAAAGTGAATCAATTTTTAAATAATTTTTTAAAAAGTTAATTGACTTAAGTAGACAATGAAAAAATTTAAAGAATAATG